TATTACGAAAATCGTAGAATATATTTTTTTTAATTGTAGAGGAAAATGGGAAAATTTTGCACATGAAAGTAAACGCGAATGATACTATTGCAGTATATTAGAGTAGTGATAATCTTCCATTTCTCACATCGAATAATAGTCCGATATACGTTTAGTGTACTATAATACGTGACCATAGAACGCACGCTGTTTAATGTAAATATATATGTAACTATCATTATATTTTCTGATAATTTTGATATAGGAGAGAATGAGAGAAATTGCAAATACCTGAGGGAGAAGTTAAATAGACTCGATAATCATTGATCAATTATAGAAACCTTTATTCAAAGGATATTAGCTTTAAACTGCGCTAATTGAAATTTATATCTTAATGTAAACTATATTTTTAAATTATATTTTTAAAAAATGAATTTGGAATTGCCTCGCACGACGACAAGTAATTTCAAACGGCAAGGGTTTTATCTTTTATTTGAAATTATATTTTACAATTTAGTTTACTAATAATAGGTGACTGTTATTATTGCAGTTTAAAGTTAAATAACTGGAGCTTTTAAATAAAGACTTCGGTTAATTGATAAATTATTGTTGGCTTTAATTTTTCCCTTAGGTTTTTGCAGTTCCTCCACTTTCCCTTACGCCTTTTCAATATTAAGACTCACAGAATACGTTTAAAGTGGGATATATATGTAATTAGATTTAAGAAATGTAGTTCAATGATTTGTTTTCCGGATCCATATAATTTAATCAGATGTCTGTTTATCCAAACAAAATTATAAGCTTACATAACATAGGTTTACATGTTTAACGTAATCACTACGAATTCAATGTAATGATAATTCGATACATTATACATCGATTCATCGAGATTACCATCTCACAATACACGTCCGATTATTATTCCACATCCTATACATTTTAGACGATATTAAACAGCAAATACTAAAATAAATGTATGTTCTACACGTACTTCATAACAACAACAGATCTTGTAACACAAAATTGAATTCTGAGAGATGTGTTGCGTATCGAATTTGATCATTATGGTTAGGACACTAATTTTAAAACATGATCGGTATCAGATAAAAGATAAAATCTAATTCAATGTAGGCGTAGGGTTGACACTTCATAATTATTATTCTATCATCGAATAAATCAATATGACGTAAATCAACGTAGCACCGCTGTTGCCCGTAAATGTAGACTGTAAATTTGTAATCGTCGTCGACTTTCGCTTACGTTGTCGACGACGGACCGATGTTTGCCTCGAAATAAACCACGCGGGAATAGAACCCTGGGATTCATCTCGCGTCTGGTTCAGGATGCGAGAAGAAGGGCGCGAAAGCGTGGAATAGGAGACGAAGGCGAACGAGGTGCGCGGAAGGGTAAAAAGGCGGGAAATACCCTCGGGAGCCCTCGGCAGATTTATGCCGGCCCTGGTTGGCTGGTTGGCTCGCTGGCGCCCCGTATACGTTCATCCCTCTCTGGCCATGGCGAAAGGATGAGGACGCGGGTGGCGGGAAGGTTATTCTCTCTCCTCTCTCTCTTTCCATCCTCCCGCCCCCGCAGGCCAAAGGATCTTGCAGGATATTATACGATATGCACCGAAAGTTGATAGATGGCTATTACGTTCCGCTAAGACGAGCGTACCACACCACCGCGAAAATTCTCTCCCTCAGGATTCTCGGTTCTATCATGTGATTTCTCAACGGAAAAAACTTCTCCACCCGCGTTTCGTCGCCGTCGTCCCTACGCCCGCAATAATTTTCGGTTCTCTCGATAGCGACCCTTCCGAGAATCTGTCAGAAGCCGACTTCTGCGCGCTAACGTCAAAAAGAAGGTTATTGAAAATATTAAGAGAGAGAAGAAGATTTATTTAATGATATTCTTCCTTCACATTTTTAAATCTGACCCGCGCATTCGTCTCGGTTGTTTGATATTCGTACTGTTCCCGTTACGTACAATAAGAAATCATTAATGTCCTCGTGCTTGTGTTTATATTGACGGATAAAAAGCGATTTTATATGGAACAGGAATATTCCGTCTTTCTGATGATGCCTGCTTTTATTCGACGCCTTTCTATTTTATCGGACTTTATACGTAATGCCTGACGAATATGAATGAAGTGTATTGAAATGAAAATACATGTGCCTGCGCGTGATAATAGGAGACAGTCCAGTTTCATAATGATTTTTGCCGTTTGTCTGTTATTTCCTAGGTAAAGCTATACTCCTTCATCGTATCTGTTTAAAATTGAATAAATGTTATGAAAAAGGCAAAAAATAAGAGGTCTTTTACGATGATACTACATGATAAATTGTTTCTCTTTTTCTCATCGCGAAAGAGCTCCTTTCATCTTCTTCTATTCTGCAATGACATTTGCTATTCAGTAACTCATTCCATACGTAGTGGATAATTAATAACCACCGATTCATCTAGTGAAATACCAAATGTATGAAATGTAAAATCTCTTTGGCGATGCATGCACATGGATTCTATCGGAGAAATTTCCAATATATTAATCCTAAATTTCTGCAACCTAATTATTATATCATTATTTTGTAGATATTATTACGTAATTAACGTATTTAAATTTTTGAGATTTCACTATTTACGTAATTAACGTACTTATTAACATATTAAATTTTTGGGATTTTATTATTAAGCGAATTTTATTATTAACCGCAGAGATATGACTCTCTCTGTTAATACCGACAATATTATTAGATCTGAGAAAAATGCTAAAACTAAACTTTTTCTTCGTTATTTTACCAACGGCTTATATTGCTTTAGTGGACCAAAACATTAAGCGGAGCGCAACGTGGCAATAGATTTGCCGGGCAGAAAGCTGTGGGATTATAACAGGATCTTCATCCGGGTGAACCGACCAACGTTAATACAATTAACGGAGCTTTGCTAAGTACCGTAACACGGCCTCCCTGCCCCTTGGACTTGGCCCAAATATTCACATCGCTACGACGAACCGCGAATCCACGATGAACCAACTTGTCTGTGAATTCTATTCACGAATTCTTGGGTTAATTATAGAATTATACAATATATTAATTATAGAATTGCAACGGTTACCAATATTTCATATTATAAGCCATCATAAACATGACCAAATTAATTCTATTTGAATTATTATTATAAACACAAATTTAATAAATTAATATCGACGATATTTTTTGTAGTACCTGCTCATAAAAATTGAATAAATCATAATGCATAGCTGATGTAAAACGATTAATTAACAAATACTGTTATTATTACTAAATTATATTATAATTTATCTGTTAAATCTTAATCAGAGAATAAATATTCGAATTCTGGACGAAATTTGAACGGATCATCTTACGATAGTAAAATCTCTTTGTAGTACAAGTATAGTGCAATAACTGCGATTTCGTTGATGATAGGAGACACCGATATCTTTGGCACCCGAGTATCCTTTGTTCTTCTATCCATTTACGGTTTAGAACGATTCAAAGCCGGAGACCGATGTAGCTCGATTGGACTGTTCCTTGGTTAAAAGCCGTCAAACGATTCATGGGTAAGCTGGTTGATCAGCTCTTACAAATTTCGAATATATGTGACAAGCGACAAAGCGAGAAACCACTAATGAATTCCGAAAGAAAAGAATTGTTGATGATACAAACATCAATTCTGATGATACAAACAAAAACAAAATATGTAATCGATAAAAAAAAAGTATGAAGAAAAAAAGATTTAATCACTTTTCACTTTTATCAAAATTATGTATAAATTATTATGTTTTGTTTATTGTAATAATTATTTTTTAGTTGATGTAAACAGTTAAATAGTAATAGTATATCAAGTAAAAAGATGAAAAGATTAAATATAAATTATCCTGCAAAATGTTGATGTCAAGAAAAATATACGTTATATCTTCATTACAGGCATGATAACTGTTATCGTGAAAATTCACGCCTGCTACGCTCCGGTGTAAATCAGGATAAGTGACATGTAATGGCTCTTCGGATAATTCCGGAACTTCTCATACCATTGAGTGCTGGATGGCAGCATTGAAAGCAAGCGAATGTCGAATCACGTAGTAACATAACAATGAGACAATTCCACTAACTTAATCGCATGATTGAACGGAGTTTAATCACGAAATTGTAATTCGATAATCGACAAATCCGGCTAAATCAGATTCCGCAAAATTTCTATCGGAATTATCGAAAGAGATCTCACGAGTAGTCGCTTTATCTCGGGAACTTTCTCGCATTTTTAACAAGGATTGCGAGAAAGAAATAGTATTTCTATGGTCGTGAGTTACACCTGCAATCAAGGAACTGTATCGGTGTTAATCGACCGACCTTTGTCTGCTGTACGTTTTCTTAGAACAAGTATGTGCAAGTGCAACAACCGCGTTCTCTATCGTTCGCACGTGCGCCTCATAGCGTTATAGGAAATGGAAGCGTTTCGCTTTCCAGGTAGCGAGATTAGTATCTGCGACGCTATAGAAATGAAACGTTACTTATTTCATATCCGACACGGACCGCTGCGGTGTATTCAATGGCGCGGAGATGTCGCGCTTCCGGCACGTACGCGCCTCAGTATTGTTGATAAGTCACCGTGCCTGACACCGTACAGATATCGCGAACAAAACGCGAAATCGATTTCCACCCCTCGGGAGACAGAAACGAAATTCCGCGCTATGTTCCTACGGACATTTCAGACACTTTAAATGTAGTCATGAAAAATTGTCGGTACAATCCGGAGGAATATTCGCAATGGAATTCGATTCACTCGATTTCGAATCGACTAGCGGGCGTGCGAGGTAACGCGCGATCGACATTTGAGGATGTCTATGAAATATTTAACGGCCTCTGCGAATGTCTATGATTTAGTTTTTCTTCTCCCGGGTATGCCGTCGACGTGTGAATATTTACAATTCCCGAAGAAGAATGCTGCACGCAGCATGATATGTGAGTTGAATAACAATTTCGTAGAAGAAATATATTCGTACTCACTGAGGCGGGATAGCTTGTAAGCATCCGCGGTATTAATTACATCCACAAAGGCTTGCAGTTCAAACTTGCGAGTTGTAATATTCTGGTTGTGGCTCATCATTGCAAACTTGAAGGCGTTCTGTACTTCGTCGGTACCTTGCTCAAAAATGGCACCTGTAAGCAAAAGATAATGTAATTAAATATTATGCATGTGTATGCAATAATCAAGAAAGAGATCAGTATTATTGACCCTCCGTTTGTATTTATATTTTTTGTTCTCTTCGTCTGCAGTCTGAGCTTTTTTGTCCAACTCAAGTTTTATTTTTATTATTCTAAAATTTCTCTTTCTAAAATCTTTGAAATGGAATAATAATTCTAAAGTGACAAAAATTCTAGTGACAATTGAGCCAGTGTTGAAAAGGAATGGCTCCATTGTCAATTTTTAAGAATAAGATATCACTCTTTAGAGTTAAGTTCCAAAGATTTTAGAGAGATTTTAAAAAATATGAAGAAATTAAATAGGCTTTTTTTAACTAAAATATTGATTTAATAAAAACTGAAATTCGAGCAAAAGTGAGTGGTGAAATTTTGCATATATCAAAAAAGATATAATGTAGATATTGTAAATGGAAGGTTAAAGTTGTATTTGTTAAAAATAATATCTTAAGTGAGTAAGATAAATTAGAAGACATTTTATATAAAATATAAATATCCGCGGAAAGTGATACACAATTAGTTATGTAGATTTCAGGAGATAGTATTTGCACGTTTAATAAATGTCGCGAGGAAATGCGATTATCCCGTCCGTCGTGAAATCGGATGTGATAATCCGACGCGACACCCTGTATCGGATGTCTGACGTGCGGCGCTCCGTTTACTACCGGCTCACATACGGCGCAGTGATACAAGCCAGCGTCTGCTCAGGCAGCGACTGCATACGAGGTCCGTGTAATTACACCGTTCCATTCGGCGTTAATAGTCGGTAATATGTACCAATATTAATGCTGTCGTCATGTAATTTACCGTAAACCAATTACATGTTCGATAACCTGCTGAGTCTATTTCTTGAACTTAATAATGCTTGATGCGATTATTATATACATCAGACATAAAGTCAGAGCCCCGTGGAAATGTTTGCGATCCCGATGAAAATATTGACGTCGTCACTGTAAAAATAATATGGCTACACGCATTTATCAAGCTATTTATTTCACGTCAAATGTATCGCATATTCCAGATGCTGCTGTCGATGAAGTGATCGATGATACGCTAACACGGTATGCGTCGTATAATCGAGTAACTGTCAGCGCTGAATACTGCACTTTGTGTCTTCGTTATTCCGAGCATCCGGCGTTACCATTAATATCTAGTTGGAAAAGCTCGTCTGCGAGCACGCGGATTTTCGTCTATAAAATGTATACTTCTCTAAGTTAGTTGCGAATGCAGAAAAGGAGCGACGAAGAACGGGCAATCGTGCGAATTGACAAACTTGTATCGAAATAATTTTCGTTACGACTTTCAAAGTTGTAACGCCGAACGTCGCTGTGCCCGGGAGCTGTTTTTCCCCGCCTGTGCAATGAGAGAACTTTTCGCGGAGAATAAGATACGCTCCGAAGTGTTACACGATATTATAGCGCACCTTTTCCCGTTTCATTTCTTTCCACTTCCGCCTGTCTGCCTGCCTGCCTGCCTGCCCGGCTGTATGCCCGTCACACGTAGATTTTTCTTTGCTTTTATGAGAGCATCTAATTTCGCAGTTCACGCCGCGCCTCGTGAAATATCGGTGGGAAGTTCAAAACAAAGTAGTATTACGATTCACCCGGAATCCCGGCCGACAGTAAACTGGAAGTGGACAGGATATCGTGCCGCACAACGTCGCAGGACGTGATTTCATACTTTACAGGTGAACACAGAGATATTGCTTTACACATAATCCATACAGTTATTAACTCTTCGGCATTGTACACGGTGCACAATGCACTGGACAAAGAATCATTCTCCCCTCAATCTCCTTCTCAAAATTACACCATTAAATGCGCATACAATAAACGTTTTTGTTCTTCATTCATTATATTCACGATTGTTAAAATAACTATTTGTGTTAAATAGTTATGATATTAGATTGTTAAATAATTTGTTAATCATTTAATCGAAAATTATTAAATAATCGGTTTAATCTATTTGTTTATGCCTTATAAAAGTGCGTGCATCAGATTTGAAAAATACAACACTATTAAATCTATAGTATCAAATTTAACTCAATTTAAACTATTTAACTTCCTTGTTTTAATATAAAATAACGATTTATCGAGTAGAAGCAGTGGCGACTTAAATTAGGTTAAATTTGACACTATAGATTTGACAGTAAACGAGATGATGAAGAGACAGCAGATAATATTACTGAAACTAAATGCTATTTTATATCAATCGTCCTTTTTAACATCGATAAATTAAAATCATGGTACAGTAGTATTCCAAATGAAATTGTCCACCATTAAATACTGAATACTGAATACTGGTTCGTCGAATACCGACTTGGTATATTTTCGTATTTCGTTGAATCCGTGTATAATCTTGTGAACATTTTAAAGGATCGTGCACGTGTCAAGACACGAGGCGGGCTGTCGTTTTACGAGGCGCATAATTTTATTATCTCGCTGAACGTACAGAAATCCACGGACGAGATACCGCACGGCAATCTGAGCCATTATGCTCGCTACACACGGGAAACCGCCACAGAAAGAATCCCATTGTAATTCGGACGACACAGTACGATTATACCACAATAGCGTCGCTAATTTCTCGTAATTGATATCCTAGAACATCTCGCTTATAATTTGCTTCCACCCTTAATTCGCGGTTTACCTCTAACAGAATTCTTGTCCCTTGAACATTTGACGATATTTAAACTATCGTGTATGAAATTATCGGGACGGCGATAAAAGGAGATTATTATTGCACACGTGTGCTTAATAATTAGCATACAGTGTAGGCGATTAACGCCTTTGAAGCGGTTTTATGCTGTCCAAGCAAGACAGGAGATTAAACCGAAAGACGTTCATCGTGTGATACGGTCAGCGTGATATCAGACACCCCGCTAATATCATTTGATTAAAATACTTGAAAGAGCGAGAAAGAGAGAGAAGGGAAACGAGCAGGAATTCTCTTCCGCTCGTTTCCTCGTGTTCGTCCTCCTGCTTTCCACAAACACGTCGACGCCGATATTTGCTGAATATCTTTGTCGATATTAAAATTGTTTTACATCGCGAGCCGACCGTTCCGCTAATCAAGACAAAAATCGGCGTCAGCGAAAATACATCCGTGTAACTGGATTGTAATTACAATAAAATCCGCAAAGCCGCGTTACCACGCCAGCATCGCATTAAGCTAATATTAATTAACCGGCTCTTCGTTTACTGTGTCAAAAGCTGTGGAAATTCGCGCGCAGCAAAAATTTTGCCGACTACGAAATAATCGCAATTAAACAAGTAGCGTTACGTTAAATTTATACTCCAATGCAAGTATTTTGCGAATCTGGTGCAGATGAGTAGTACCTGATACGCAACACGCTAAATTGAAAAGAATAACGTCGCGCAACTTCTAGATTAAAAATGCACACCCTTGTTACGTCGGCAACAGTTGGAAGTTTGACGAGTTTTAGCGATAAACCTATATCACTATGATATAGGTATTTATGATGCATCCTAGCAAACTCGGTGAATATATTGGCTTTCCCTTAAATACGACGTACAAAACTTGGGCGGTAAATCACTACGTGCAGCGCGCTTATTACAGCCAGCAGTATTCTTATTACCGGCCGACGAGAGCCGCCAGATTAATTTAGATCGCAACCGTATAATTAAACGATGAATATTGCCGTTTGTTGTAAAATCGGAATACCGACCGCTAAACTCGATTTCCTCAACGGAATCGTTTTATATGCAAAATATGAGGCTATAAATATGAGTTTCTTCTGTGAAGGCGCACGTTAATGCATATCGGGCATGCAAAAAGGCTTCATTTAAATATTTCAAGTGTCTTTACACGCATGGAGAACATTTGCAGTTCGTGATGATACAAGTTCGACGGGTATACGTAACCCTAACGATATAATACTCGAACAGGTATTTCCGTTTGTCTCTGTTGGCGAATGGCGTACGAGGACAACGAGGCGTAGGACGTGATAATATAGTAAAAGGTAGGAATTTTGAGGTTCCCGATTATTTCGACAATGTCTCTCTCCACGTAACAACTTTTACGCATAGCCATACGCACTGACGCATTATACTGATACACTGGATGCCTTTAAATATCGTTTGAAAGGTACCTATGTTTATCTCCGCGCGTTGACAGGTGGAGCGCCGCCGCGCGTCTATTGATTGGTGCTTCCCCACCAGTGTCTCACACTCACATCGATTCCCTCTCTTCGTTACTCGTGCTGCAACCCAGCTGTACCTCTCGCCCTTCAGCATCATCCCTCTCATCTCCTTTTCCTTCTCCCTTCCGCTTCCTCTCTGTCCCTTCTATCTTCTCTCCTCTCTACTTCTTCTTCTTCTATCTCGTTCGCTCCTCTCACCTCTCTCTTCATCGTTATTTTTGTCCTCTCAGTCTCTCCGCAGCTGTCTGCCTTCCTATCATTTTCCCCTCTCCCCTTCATCGCCTCTACAGCATCCTTCGTTTTTCTCTATGTCGACCAATAATTCGCTTCCTTTTTACTCTTATTTTCTCTTTCGTTTCTCGCCCGCATACTCGAAAACCGCGGAATCTCCACTATTTCCCTCGCACGTATATACGCTCTCCTCTTTTCCCACTCGTCTTCCGAACTCCGACGCCTTCTTTCTCCCTTTCCTGTGGCGTCTATCAAAGCCGCGGTCTCCAAGCCGATCGCGCACCGTTCCCTCTCTTGCACGCGTTCGAGATTTTTCCCGCTGCACGGCTTTTTCTCTCGCTGTTATTGTCGATTGAGCAATGCGTCGCAATTCGCAATGGCAGACTTTCCGCAGCTCCGCAACGACAACTTCAATACTTAATAAGTATCGGAAAGTTCGATGAATGCTATTTATATAAGCATTGCCCGTAAGACCATGAATGCGGTATTGAAATGTGGACTGACAGTAGCTGTGGCACTCCATTATCCGCCATGTCTGACTCGTGACGGACTGTGACCACTGAACTGGTCCGATTCAATTTGCAAGACTTATCTTTCTTCCTCCCAAGAAAGTATATGCATTTGCATATATTTTCTCAAGCAACCGAGTGCAACCTCATTTTTAATAAGCGTCACAAGTGCAAAAACAAAATTGTATTAAGAAATTCTTGTTGGTATGTAATTAACTGTCGTGCGAGAGATGGTTCATTTGAATCAAACAAATTATGATGGATTAGCAACTATGGAAATTCCGCAGTGCACATATCCATTTTCATTGTACATCACGCGGGTGTTGCGACCTTTCAACCCTGTTGCCACTATACTCGCGGGCTATTTCTCCCTCTACGCAATTAAAACGTTTCGCTGTTGGGAATTCCGAGCTACGTGATTCCAGTCACGGTCGAAATTATATGGAGAAGCTGCAATTGGTGGTGCACACAAGTGACTATTCGCCTAGTCCAAACAATGTAGAACTTGTGTACGACTTGCAACGATCACGATCGTTACGCGATTGTATCACTCAATGGTCGTGCAAACTTCAGCAGTTATAATCGCGACGACAGTCAGCGATTTAGATAACAAGTTTGCGGTTTAGCTTCATGCAAAAACAAAGTTACCGTTAATCGTATATGCGAGCAAGTATCGGAAATTGTATAATTTTAATTTGCGCGGAATCGCATTCGCGTTTTTCTACTTGAGCGGAATTGAAATTATTTTACCGACAACGAATTGAATATCGATCGTTGAAGTTTTTGTTCTTAGCAAACATGAGCAATATTTAGTTGCGTATTGTATGTCCAGGACATACAATACTAACCGAAAATTCGATTGCCAACCACGTCTGATCTTTGACTTGAAACCTCGTCGGCATTACAAACCATTAAAACTTCCTTTAACTTCTCTTACGAGAGTTTGCAACCTTGTAATTGAATATCGGGAACAATATAAACGGCCGAGTTGGCAGAGATCGAATTCTGACGAATACTCACTAACAATCATAGAATCTTTAATCATAGCAATTTTCCCTGAAATGAAAGGAAAGTATTCCATGCAGCGTTCTATTAATTATAATTCGTTAAAAAGAAATTAAAGCTACTAGATTTTTTTTACACAATTTAATCAATTTAATCAATTTTTTACTTAAATTCGAACGTACTCAATGTTATTTACAAGATACCTTCCTCCAGTTAACATAAATAAAGGTAAAATAAAATAAAATCTCGTTTCAGCTGAGTTCCAATGAATTCTAGAGATATGTTTAAAATAAAGTTTAAACGTTCAGTTAACGATCGAGAAGTTCGAGAACTCGTTTGCAGAATTTCAATTACTTTTTAAACAATGCATTCTATTTAAAATCGAATCAAATATAGTAAGCGATTCTTTTATTGCGAAATCATTTGATTGGCATAGCTTTGTCTCGAGGCATTTTGCTTTGAGCTTCGATTACTCATATCTATTGTTATACGTTCCCTCATACCCTTATCGATGCCGTCAATGTTTGCAGCTCTATGAGCTCTTCTACGTTTATGATACATTGAATCTCCATGCATCGATTTCAGCGCGTTTATCTCTGAGTTATTTGACAAGGATAATACAGTATTTTCAGGCAGTCATTCAGTGATTGCCTATTACTTATCTTACCGGCTGTTACAACAAGTAATAATCTACGTGCACCGCCTACGATTGCATCGATTCTCAAAGTAAACGCGTAGACCAATTTAAAATCTCACCATTAGGTTAATAAAAGCTCACACGATGTTTTATTTAAAAAACAACTCTTTTTCTCTTTGCAGTCGCAGTAGTAAAAATGCGACACTACGAAGTACCGGTGCTTAAACACGTTTGATAAAATATCATCCTTTTTATGGTACACTTTGTTTACAGATAAGCTTGCGGGCAAGGACGCGTCCGTACGCTTGTTAGTCGCGTGTTTTAAATAAAATAATAATGTCGGTGGTAATCCTCTGTCGTCCAAGCGCACGGAATGCATCGCGCTAGGTAGGTTCGCAGACGCGAGACGTTAGCTAGCTGCGCGCTCATCTCAGCAAACGCCACAGTTAATCACCAGTCAGCTCCCGCGACAAATCCAATTCAGCGACAATGACCTAACGAGGTAACTTGATTTATATCCATACCAGGTATCCTTCGAGAAGTCCAAAGAAGACGAGTGACATCGGACGGACCGCGCAGAGACGTTTCGTCTGGTCCTTCTCGCCGAATGATCCGATATTGTATTCCTTAAGATATTCCGGGGATTTAAATTAAGTTCTTATCCTCAGATATTGAATCCGCTTTATGTTAATACGGTACGCTTTCCGGCACCGAGTACGAGAGTCCGCTAAGAGAGTGAGAGAGAGAGAGAGAGAGAAGAGACGAGTGAAAGAGAAGGTTGAATAATTTCCGAAAGCTCCTCGAGTCGGCGACTGGCAGGGAAGTAAGAAGAGCGCCGTCTTGATTCGTTTCTTTCCGCTTTTGGTGAGAAGAAGTTCGAGAATCGATTGCTCGTTCGTTCGCGCTATTTCTGCCATAGATCTTTCTCCGAGCACGATCTCGACAGGAACGGAAACTTTTTCGACCCGCGATGAAATGGCTGTTTCGTATCAATTGTTTAATATGAAACTTTGCAATATTGACTTTAATTAGCACAAGTGAATTAATGTAATTCGGTACTTAGGACGATGAAAAAATTTGAGCATGAATGGAAATACCTGGTGAGAGGTGAGGGGCGAATGGAGAAATGAACTTGGTATGGTGCAGCTGAGTTTTTATGCTGATTACTTGTATGTGTATAAGTATAACGCAAATTGAAAGAGTTCCGGCAATTTAAAATATTACTGCTTTCTAATATATCTCGATAATACGTACTCTCGAGAAAGATCTCGAAATTATTATATTACGATTTACGAGAGAACAAAGTCACCGAATTCACTTCACGAACTAAGCCAACTCTTAATTTTAATCGGCCGTAATCGCAAAGAATAAAATGGAGCTCGCTTTAGCGTGATGGTAAACATTTTAATTACCATCTATCTCCCGCAATTATCCAACTTGCCTCAGCCTGTTCCCTCCATTACCTCCTCATCACAGATATGAAACGCGTGGTGCGAGATTCCTTCATATTTCCGTTCGTTTCTCTCGCAATGGAATAAACTGAATAAAAGATCAAGTTTTTTCGCTCTCACGATGTCGCATTGGTACGAAGAGTCTCATATCAGCGTACAGTTATTCGCTTTCCCTCGTTTTAGTAATGTAAAAAATAGCAAGATTCCTCTCTGTTCGATTACGAGATCGGTTCAAGAAGTTTTTATGCATTCATGATCGATGCGGTGCGTTATCAAAGAATGTCACTATGAATCGCAAGAACGTAGAGAAAATTCCGGTATATTCTTCAACGAAATCGAATACGGACTCTTCTTCTAAAGAAATACAATGTCAACCACACAAGACAACGATGCGTTATTGCAGCAGCGTGACAGCACGATAACAACGTAAATATATATATATATATGTACACACACACACACACACACATACACACACATATATATATATAACAGAAAAGCTGCTTTGTAAAAACATTATGAAACATATGTTTATATGTAGTAATACGGAACTTTATCTTTTCTACTATTTTCATATTTTGACGACACATAAATTAAAATATTAACAAAAAATCTGCTTTAAAAATTAATTAAATTAAATTAAATTAAACAATTCACACAGTGAGGAAATTAGGACTATTAGGAATTAGCGCTGTTATTAATGCATTGCAAGTATTATTACAGAAAATATATTTAACGACGTAATAATGCTTAGTTTTTGTAACAATGCTTAACACTAATAACAGCATTGATTCCTAAAATAGCCTTAATTTCCTTAATTTAAATTGTTTAACCCTTTCACACTCTGCGTAATTGTAATGTCACGTCAAATTTGAAGAGTTATTCGTTGAAATTATTATCTAAAGTATTTATTGAAAAAATAATCAAAATTATAGAAAAAAATTATTTAATATAAATTAGTTAATAGTTGCGCATGAATTATATTAAAAAAATTTTCTTATCATGGTTCCAATAAAATCAGATCTGAAGGTTTTAAACGGAAGAAATCTAAATTGTCCATAAATTATGAATGGAATTAAATTATTTATTATTATACATCCGAGGGGAACGTTGTTTCGTTAATATATTCAGACTTAGTTATATTTTTAGTAGAAATAAAAGAGTTATTTCAAAACTTTGACCAGTACGTCAATGCGTAATTCAATTTGACAAGTCAAACATATTTTACTTACTATTCCCGTCTCGTTCGCCAGGTGGTTAGGCCAGATTAAAATCGCGCATGCGAATTCGCGCGTGCCTTCGCGCACGCCAGTATCGTATAATTTCCTGTTTGTTGTTTGTCGACAGCAGCGGGCTGGGCGTTCGTTGAATTCTGCAATTCGCGAGGCAGCGTGCACGCAGGCGGACTGGCTCTCGTTACGTGGCAGATTGTACGGTGCGAGATGCATCCGGCCGCAGCGTCCTATCAAGATAGCCTATGTCGCGTCGGATAATTAACTAATAGACCGCGATACGTGAGCGAAATACGTATCTAGCTCCAGCATCATCCGGATGGCTCGCTCGCATTTGAATCGTGTTGCGGCTCTATAATTATACCGAACCACGTCGGGCCACGTTATAGCACAATTAAATAATTTATTATTTATTATTTATTATCATTATTATTAATCGTTTTTCTATGTAGATGTGTATATTTTGTATAGATATATATATTATACGTACACACAAAATCGACATCAACAGAGTATCTTGATGGCACTTTGCTTTTCCACCAAGCACAATCGATGAATTTTATTCACAATTTACGTTGAGATATTTTGCCACGTTCGTACTCACTTTTAGTCACGCATTCCGCCAAGCCGCGAAACAATCGTTCACGTTACGCGGTCAAAATGCAACGTCACTCGCTACAACACGCAGGCAGCACTCGCTTGATGCACGCGTTAAATGCATTTTGGCTCGTTCGTGTTTACAGCGATGTCGGCTGAGACTCATAATTTAGTTATATTTGTACATTATAGTTATAAATGAGATGTAAATGTTGTTATCATTAGATATCATTGTGCGTAACATACTCTAACTATATAGATCCACAAGGGTATGGGTAATTGTAGCGGCGCAAAGAGCGGAATAGGACGCGTAACAGTTATTATTAGTATCTCGTAAATACCATATTGTCGGTGATCTAATTAATTTAATTTCTTGGTACAGTTACCTCTGTAATTACGTTAGTCGCATCCGGTTCAACTATGTTATGCGAGATAACAAAATAAATGATCGCGTCCCACGTGTGTAATACAAACGAGACTCCTCATCGCGGCAAAGTTCGGGAATTAATCAAAATTTCCGGTTCGTTCAAAATTGCACGACGGTCTCTGTCTATTGCGCATTGTAATTACTAATTTAATTAATTACGAAAAGTGATATCATCACTTTATGTAACGAAAGAAGTGAATGATTGTAAGCAATTACAGTGTACGATTCTCGGTTAATTAATTACACGTAATAATTATAACGCGTGCAATGTTTCGTTTTATTTTCATAACAAGTTTATGTAGCTTTAGTAATATCAACGAAATTATATTGTCATTGGCAAAAATTTAAATTTGGAGAGAAAATAATTTATATAAAATATCGGAGGACATACATGAATACATCGGAGAATACTTGCAATTACGGATTCAGTTTCATTGCTTTATTATTTTTGTTATTATTAATACTATATAACAGAAAATGTAATTAGCAAAACAGCAAAATCTGCATTTAACTTTTTAACTTTAAATTGTTTTCAACGTACATTAAATTGTCGTTATAAGGCAAACGAACAAATAATCGATCGTAGTTACTTGCCAGAAATTAGAAAAGCAATCGTTTAATGATTCGTATTAACTATTACGCGACAGTCTTTACTGTATATTTACAACATGATTATGCCACACAGGTCGGGCATACCTCGTATCCATGTAAATTGGCAATCACCGTCGAAATTAGTGTTTCCCCGTTAATGCGAGCTTGGGTCAACACAATTTGCTCGGAGTATCTATCCATCAGAAATCTCAATCCGTCCGTCGGTAATTTTATTCGTGTCCAACCTGGATGTTAGCCTACGCTCGGTTGTATTCATTCCTTTCCCAAGATCAAGCGTATTCAAAATACATGCATTTTCCCATGACAAAATTTAATTGACGTGACGGATAGGCATTGTAATATGGGATGAGAAATTAATCGATGAAATCTGAGTGGGTAATATAGATAATTTGGAGTATCGAAGTACAGACGTTGTAATGAATGGAAATACGAGAGAGAGAGAGAGAGAGAGAGAGAGAGAGAGAGAGAGAGAACGAGCTGCAAGGAAATAACTTTAATTAAAGACAATGTTCAGCCCTGCATTTATTATAGATATAATTACTACATGTCATAAACTGGTGGAATGTAATCCTACTGTTAAATAATATATACTTAACGCGGTCATTACTTGCGCAAAAGATGTAACGAACTCCGCAGCTATGGACAGTCGCCACCAAACCCCGGGCACCAAGTTATTATGAAGCAGTCACTATTATCCAGCCGGTACAAGGAGCTACTATTTGGCAAAGAAGATTAAGCGCTTTAAGTCCACGAGGAACTTTGCGCTAAGTAAGAGGCGCCCAAGCAAGAACGTTCTTAATCATGTAAAAGGGAGCTTGCCTTAAAAGCTCTTTCAAATAATGGCGATGGTTCCACCAGGCAAAAGATCTTGCCTTGCGCACACCGCTCACTCTCTCACCTTTCACCGAAGGTATACATACTCTATTGTTCCACGATTTACGATCGAATAGAGACAGCCGGACGAACGGTTCCCGTTAAAAGTGATCAATCCGATGGATATAACGTCCTCTATGGGATTCAGAAAACGGTGTAGTACCTCTAAAGTACTTCTTGAACAAAGAAGCAATAGCACCTACATATCGGTCAAAGAACTTCGTCCAGCTATTTCGTTATTCGATCATACAAAAAAGTTTTCAGATGCAAGTTCAATAAAACCGAAGAGGACAAAGGATCGATTACATATAATTTATATTGTAATCACGACAGTATAATATATATATGTTAAATTTTAGTTTTTCTCTTAGAAACGGTGGCTCATTGAATTTCCAACAGGCTGAAAAGAGAACAATATGCTTGAAAAGAGGAAGAGATAAGCAGAGTAAGCGAGAAAATTCTCTTACAATCTCCTTTGATACCGTCTGCTAAGATAAGTTAGAAGAAACTACGGCGATTTTGTATAATTATATAAAAATTTGAAACAAAATATTTTAATTTTACAGTTTCAATGTGTAAAATCGTAGATTCTTACTTTAACCCCCGTATGATATTATTTCACATTATTCCACGGGGATAAGGATGAGCTTGCGAAAAAATCAGGACCCCCTCCCCTCCCTCCCACTGCACCTCCACACCACCGCCTCTTTCTCTCTCCCTTTAAGTACCCGCCGTCATTTTCCCCTGGAGCCGATTTTTCAGTACCTAAGTACAGGTGGTGATTTATAAAGTGGGAATGCAGCCCGTGGCCCGTGTGCCCGCTCATGGCGATCCATTACAGTCTCCTGCTGCTTCGAGTCATAATATTTCCCTCCGATCCCACCGCCGCTCCTCGCCACAGCTCGTACACCATCTTCGCTCTTCTTCCAGGATCTCGTATACCACGCCATCACCGCACTTTATGCATACCAGGACTCTCTACACCTCCACACTATCCCGGCAAACATTATAACGCCGTGAGATTATGAATTTTGTATACGACTTGGCGGATCTTTCTGCGAACCCTCTGCCGTCTCGTAACCTCTCCTTCTTAGCTCCCATCTTTGCACCACCCTCCTTATTCCTTTCTCTCTTTCCTACTGGTAAGCACATCCGGACGTTGCACTACTAAGATCCGAGCTTATGTAAATGTTCGGAATCTGGTATTGGTAAAAGTGCGGTGCATATGCGCATGTCTGTCTGTACGTCAGTACTTTCACCTGAGGATGTGTGTAGAGAAGAGGATTTTAAACTAAAATATGCATTATCAAGGATCATCCTAGCGTGTTGGAAAATAAATCCTATTATAGAAAGCTTCGAGATGTTATTATTATTTCAAGTAATTGTGCTTAATTCAGAAATTATTCAAAATCTGTCAATAATTGTAATAATCACAGTTTACGATTTCATTAATAAAAATTTATTACTTTATAATATTTTTCTTGTAATTATTTTTATTTCCTACCCTCTTTTATTATTTTTATATTTTATTACATAATTTGATTGTAAATTGGCAAAGCGATATATTATCGAGAATTTCTTTTGTTTTAAACATTTTTGAGACGCTTGTATGTATAATTAAACTAACATCGTATTTTAAAAAGAGAATTTTGAAAGATGTTCAACATCTCTGATTTTCTAGTAAACGTTATAAGATTAGGAAATTATAAATTTTGTATACGATGTCGTCTCTCAGTCGTACCGTTTCGAATATCGCTTGCATCTTTTCTTTCCGTTTCTCTTTCTTGGCAACAGCAACGCACAAATATTGAATCGGCAAAGTTATTGTCCCCGCACAATTCTATTTCCGCTTTAAATAAATGTAAAGACACTCACATATTATTTATTCAGTGTCATATAACGACCATAACTTACGCTTTCCCTCATTCGAATCCATCAATCAAAATAAAATCAGAATATAAACCCCAGCGTATTAGCAACATAATAAATACGTAATACGTTACTTGCAAATTGATATTACAATGTCACGGCGTAACTTGAAAAAGGATATTTCGCTTTACTTTATATAATATCCTCGGCGCCGAGGCGCCGTTCAACGTCGTAATTTTTTCTTTCATTTTTTGGTAACGGTACACGGTGAGATTGTACATTTTGTATAAGGCCTGACGGATCTTGTCAGGAGTTCCTTTTCATGCCGCTCCTTTTCATCGCCCGCAGGTAACAGGTTCCCCCGGATAAAGCATCACGAGCAGCTACTCTTATGTAAATACCCGTGGTCCGTTGCTCAGCTCGAGCGTTTAAGCTCGTACGCTCACGTGGTTTGCAATGGTACAAGAAGAGGACTCCGTCTCTGTCCTCGATGCTTATCCCATGTCTACATCGCGTACAATGTTGTTTGAAACGAGTATCCGCCACTTCACTTTTCTTTCGTCCGAATGAACTTTGTTTTGTCTCTCTCGATATACTGCTTTTCACGGTGGCTTGGTCGCCCCTCTCAAGGAAGACCACGCTCGGAGATACCCTCTTTGAGATTATAGCGGAACGTAAAACGAGAAATTCGTAAAATACCTCCCGATATATCTATCGTTGCGTGTCCCCGGGTACCACATATGGGAAGCACTCAATCGAGCATCAACCGGAAGCTCTACGGGAGATTGAACGGATGCGCTCATACGGCATGCAGTCGCTTCGGAATCATATGCTCCGAAATTCGTGCCCGTAAGCGGATTAATATGAAATGCTCCTAGGACGCGTGCAATAAAACGGCGGATAAAACCCCACGGGGACCGACCGAAGAGTGCTTCAGAATTGCCGGCGAAGGCGAAGGACGAATGCATTTGCATTCCCACTCGTAATTCATCGGCAACGCCGAGTCGCACATGCGTGAAACGTATGCCACAGTATTTCTTGCCCGTTTCGGTGGTATGTTAATAAAAACATCAAGAGAGTATGTAAAGTATTTCGTAATAACGGATAGTGGTTCGTGTTACGCTGGCACGGAGCAAAGGAGGTTTATTGCTTCGCCGAGGCTCACAACAGCCTTCTTTGTCGACCACGCGAGTTCGATGTGCATACTTGCGACAAGTGCATCGATCGCAAACTATAAACGGAAGATAAGCGTATATCTAATCACCAGTAATACAAAAAGCTCTTATCTTTTTTTATTGACCAATAGACAGGAAAGCCGTTGGGAGTAAAAACGTATAGTTATTTCAATTAACTGAGTGAAGGAAATGAGATTTCTCTAAAACTTGAACCTTGATTTTCACAAATATGAGATTTTTTAACAAGTGGACGCAAAGAACGTAAAAACTACGTTGATTTTAGATGTATTAAATTAATTAAATATTTGATATGTATTTTTTTGTATTTAATTTATACCTCTGAGATTACTAGAGAACATGTTTTCATTTTAATTTTGTACATATTTATCTTCCTTTAATTCAAATCTTGTAATTTCCCCTGTGTCCACACTTGAGGGATCCGCCCAGAGCGTTCAATAGTAATAACGCTATCATCTTCCTAATATTTTCATAAACAATATGTTATCAATTTAATAGTCGCTACATTATTATTCACTTTTCGTGTAACTTGAATGAAATATATTCAACAAGTAGTATTTTGTCTTCAATTGGGAAACAATTATGTTTCAGCTTGTACCAGACTGTCGAGAATCGTAAACAGTGGATGTCGTAAGATGTCGAGTGGCTATCAGTAATCCCATTCATCGCAAGTGTCGTTCCCCTTGGTTTAAGCGAGTCTCCAAAGTCGATACGGTGCAACAGAAGAGAACGGCGAGAACTCGGAAGTACAGATGTTCAAGGGTCGTGCACGCCATCGAGCGTCGATGCGGGTATACGGTGGATTACAGTGACCATCCATGGGGCCACGTGAATGACTCGGGTCCTTTTCATAGAAGAATGGCTTTTCCGTGTCGCTGAATTCAGTGGCCGGCGCGGCACAATCGCAACGTACTACTTGGTCCTCGGCTCGTGAACGACAACGAGGATCAGCGGCGAATGTCCGAATATAGGAGAGAATGCGAGGAAGAAGAAGAAAGTCCCAAATGTCCTCGTAGACTCAAGGGCAAGTATTCCGTTACCAGAAGGAGGCACCTGATTCCGCGTCTTGCTCGATTTTAAAAGGTTCATGAAGTTGGTCACGATCGAAGCGTATTCCTCGAATTCTTCCGTCTCAACTTCGACAGTTTCCTTTGCTTCTTCTTCTTTTTCCTCTTCTTTTTGCTCTTCTTTTCTTCCTCCCTTTTCTTTTTATTTCTCTTTCTCTTCTGCTTTTCTTCCCTGCCTTTACGCTTTTATCCAACTCTCTCCTCCTCAACTTTCTCCTCTTCCTCTTTCAACGAGCTTTCTGACTTACTTTCTTTCTCTCAAAGTGCAGTACCCACTGCTGCAGCGATATCACTTTCCGATAAAAGTCAAGCCGTATGCCACCCCGAAAAGAGCTAAAGGCTCTACTATTACACAACGCGGAGATAGAGAAAGCGCTACTCCGCACAGCCGCATCGTCGATTTGACGATGTGGGGTGAACCGTTATGCACGACGATCGTCGAAACTTCGGTACCTACGTGAATTTTATTACCAATTGTCACACCAGTGGATATAGCCGTTGGTTTAATGCGGCGAGCGGAACGTTTCTTTACCACTTTGGTTTATATTTCTCAGCAAAACGGTAGGTCAACTGTGAAACTAATTCGTCGAGAGAAGATTACTTTTTAGTTTTCGTCCCTAAAAACTACGATATTTATTGTAAAAGAAAGTGTTTTCAAAAAAGAAATTTCTTTTATTAAAGTATATTTATTAAGGAAGAAATAAAAAAATTTCGTTTACATGATATGACGTTAATACAATTATTATATTAACATTCTCTTTTTCATCTCCGTATTTTGCTTATTCATTTGGTAGTATACAGAAAGTTTCTTTGCCTCTGCAAAGTTTTATTACAATAATTATTACATCTATTTAATTAACAAAATTAGTAAGGTATGTTTAAAAGCCGAGATCAAAAAATAACGAACTCGTTGAGATTCATATAAATGCGTGGAAAGACGATGCTAATTTTAATGAAAGTTAATTAAGTTAAAACAACTTGCAATTTAATATCTATGACAGTAAAAGTTCTTACGTCAGCAATACGCGAGTAACGATGACGTACATGATTTTAGTCTCGATATAACAGATGCGGGCAAGTTTGATCGACCAATGTACAGTAGTGGCGGACAGCTTTAATTGTCTGGCTTTCGGTAGATGTGTAGGAACTTAATCAAGCAACAGTAGGTACATGTTGCGACATCGTAACAATGAATCGTTCAATGATGATGACAACTTGAACTCGCGTCAGGATCTGATTCCATTCGACTCCGTCGAGCGAGTAGATTATCCGGCATTAAGATGTTCGAATATTCTGGTAATCCTTTTGTAATCATCCAAAATACATGATTCTGTTCAATGGGTCTATAGTAATACGACGTAATGCGATCATTAGGAAAAGCGAGCGCCTTTGACGTTTCCGACTTACGGACAAGAGACAGCCGGGAAAAGACGTAATTGACTCGAAAAAGATGTACATGAACTCTCGACTTGAGAAAGACGACAGAGAATAGAAGGAAAGCGGAGAAGGAATAAAAGGCAGCACACACAGGCGTGGATCCTCGAATCGGCTGACTTACGCGATCCCTTTGCTTTTAACTCGGAGAAAGGAAAAAAGAAGAGAAGAAAGAAAAGGATGGGACATAAGAGAGGGGGGGAGAGAGAGAGAGAGAAGAAGAGCAGGGACGGGAGGAGGGGGGGGGGAGGGAGAGAGAGAGAGAGAGAGAGAGAGAGAGAGAGAGAGAGAGAGAGAGAGAGCCGGCCTTGCGAGCTCGAAGGCGGAAGGAAAAGAAACCCGGAGGTGGCGGGTTATTGGAGAGAAAGCAGAGAGAACGGGGCCCGGGTACTATCTCGGAAAATTATGTCAGTCCTATCTCAAGCTGAAAGCAGAGACGAGGATGAGAGAACGAGATATGAAATAACTGGAATAAAAGGGAGAGTGAAATCTCGTGCTCGAACGGGACACCGAAGGAATAGAAATATTACTATTGGGATAAACTCTGTCCCGCATTCAGTTTCCTTATACCATCTTTCTTTGGTGTATCTTATCGGTGTACCACCTCGTTTTTCCACCCTTTGGCGCATAGCTCCTGTGAAGATTAATCGTTGATGCGCGATAAAAATTTTGTATGAAAACTGCTTTCGACCGAAAACTCCCGGCGGCCCCGCGTGACGGAAATAATTACACGATATCGGAAAATGTTTGCGCCCAGTCGGGGGAGGATTTTGCTCAGCTATATATCCAACAGATTATAAAAATTTTCCATCGGTACTTGACCGCGCGTCCGCATTGTTCTCGGTTGTGTTTACGGCCACGGTAAATACAGTAAGACCAAGAATAAAGTCCCATCTATGCGATTATGAGCCATCCGCTTACGTTTACTTCCTTCGCCTCTTTTCCCCGATGCAATATCCGTAAATTTAATTTTTTTTTTCTCCTGGTGTATCCACGTTGTCGGATCGACAACATGGCGGAACGATTCCAGAAGAATCGATGTTAACTCGAAACTCTCGTTCGCCGGCTGGAAAAACGGAAGTAAAAACAAAGAACTCGGGGCATAATCTTGTTTTGTTACGGAGCCAATACAAAACAATTCTAGCATCTAGCAAATAAACGCGGCAAAGTACTTGATCACGAGTTTCAAACGATATTACACGCTATGTCGCTAAACGAGATTGAGTGCAATTCATTAAAAGTAAAAATTATATAATCCATTTTTTATTATATTAGATATTAAAAGAATCGTTCATTAGTAAAATATATTTACTGATGTAATTTACACACAACTCGTTATGGAAAATGTTAAACAACTTCTAATTGCTGATTAATTAAGCATGAAAAAATTAAATAATTGTAATAAGTTAAAGTGAGTGTAAGTCAAATATAACGTCGCTATAATCGCAGTTTTACATGAAAACAATTAGAACGAGCATTTTTATTGAGCTACTTGTGTTACGTTCCTTCTATACCTACTCTAATTAGAATCAATCAATCCATCATATTTCGAGGCAAACAAGCTTCGTTATAAGTTTAAGTTTCGCGAAGAAAAATTTTCTTGTGGATTAATTTATGATTAAGGATTAACTTTCGCTGAGAGCTTGCATTTGGAGTAAAGTTGGAAATTCTTCTCTTTGTTTTTGAAGTAATATTCGCGTTTCTTGTCGAGAGAAAGAGGATATCGAAGTTTATACGGTTATATTACATCCCCCTAGCTAATATTGAATACGTCCCCAAGCAGCTTGCTTGATAACCCGCACTCGAGGCAGAGAGAAGAGAGAATCCATTCGACCATCGTTCCTTCGAGATTAGGAGGAGTTTGCGGAGACTTCGAGGAAGATCTGTTTGGTCAAGGACGATCGGGCTATTACCAAAGTCGCGCTCGTCTGAGTTACGATCGCTAAAGCTTACACAAACCCCAGTCCAGCTATTGCGGCTATTCAGAAATCGCAAGATGCCTTTCTGTACAAACGTCTTAAGTCCACATCTGTGAAAATCGAGTGAAAGCCCCTTCCCGATAAGGTGCTTGGCAAAAGAGCCACGAGATAGAATATCACATAAAATTAAATCGATCCATCACTGACACGTTATACGTGGAACGGCTAGCAAAAAAATCCTTACTCGATCCATATTCATTTATAGCCGTCAGGCTATTTGCTAGACCGATAGTACTAATCTGAACCTATTTAACTCTATTCGATGCCATTTGGCTTGATTCTCGAACGTGAAAAATTTGGTATAAGTAGACGAGTGAGATCTGGATAGAAAATGAGCTCATGCGAGATTATCCGAAACGTGGTTTCCAAGTTTCAAACGGCAGACCGCGATATCGATTCGATGAGCAAATGGGCGTTCAGCGCGTTCGTCGACGAGTAGAATGCGATCAAAATTTCAAAGGGGACGAAGGGAGAGAGGAACGAGAGGCGAGCTCGAATAAAGATACGAAAGATCCGAGAACCGCTGACGTATAACGCACCATAACTATTATCTCTTTTCTCTCCACGAAAGAAAACTTGGCACTCGGCTGATCCTCCGAAGTATCCGGCGAGTTAGCGGATAGAAAGAGGGGGAGGAGGTGTTGGATCGAGGACGCTTTGGACGGGGTGGGCGGCGGGTAGGAAAGCTCTAAGATTACTGAATGGGCTTCGCCCGCGCTGGTGGCTGCGCTCTCGGGGTCGTGGCTTTATTAACACGTCTTACACGGTAACGGGATCTCGTGCACGTTAAGAGGTAGGTATATGGAAGCAACCGGCAGCTGTTGCTAACGCAATTTCCCTCCCCCCCCCCTCAATATAAATCCTCTGGACTCGCGATATTGAATCAAACGATATAGCGGGTGGCTTTATCCGGTCATGGCATCATGCGCGCGCGCACACGAGCATGCTCTTTCTAGACGTCCGCCATAGCGACTCCCGACTAACTAGATCCTTGATTCGGTCGGTCGACCGGATAGAGCAGATACGGATATAGGACGGATCGACCGGAATAAGTCGCCGCGACTTTGTACGATCGCGAGAGAATAAGAAAGACAGGGGGATGGGTGAGATATGGTGGATGGGTAAAGGACCGAAAGGAAGCTTTCTCTCTCCCCTTGCTTTCTCTCGTTGCGCGCTACAGTAAGGATGGCACATCCATTAAGCGAAGACCAGAAGCAAGTAAAAGGATTTCAAGGTGGAGGGACTAGCCAAGCTTACGCGATAATTGCGACGGGAGCAATGAACGATGCCGTTTACGATTCCCCGGTACTTATCGATCGATCGATCGACTAATTAGTGTGAAAGAAAAACGGGAACGAACACGGATAAATTCAAGAAGGATGAATCTTGCTAGCAATTACTTTTTCACTGTTAGCTATGAGCTCTTCAGCGTTAGTTACGTTACCATCGGAACAACTTGCGATGCCCTTGTATTTTATATCGGTGCGATTCTTCGAGGAGCTAGAACGCGGAGGAAAACGCGATCAGTCATGGATTAGTTTGTCGGATCGGAATGACATGAAAGATCTCTGAAACAGCATAGAGGCACGTTCGGCTGAAGAGCAGGCAAAGGTGATTGCATGGACAGCGAAAGAGAACCAAGTCCGAAAACTTGGACCAAGGAAAAAAGGAAGAGTGGAATAGACGAGATGGAGAGAGACCGAATCGAGACGAGAGAGGTGAACTTTTCTTCCCTGTCTTCTTGCGAGCATGATCTGGTCCAGAAAGCAACGGAACGCCCATTACGCTGCGGACGAACGAGCTCCTGTGATCGGAGATGAGCCGAGAAACGGGGTGAAATCGCATGGCGAAGAGGGGTATGGGATGCGGGGACACAGAGGGAATCGATGAACGAGGGGAGAAAATCGAAAAACTAAACCTTTCCGTAGGAGATTGGGCAATGGTACGTCTCGATCAGGGCGATGGTTTCGAGATGCGATTTTCTCGCGCATAGAGTTGCTGATTGCGAAGGTGCAACATCAGAACGTCGGCACACAGCTACGTAGACACACTATACATTTTCCGATTTGGCTGCGGGAATAAAAAGACAATTCGCTCCACGGGATCCGTAGACCCGCCCGACGAATGGTTCCTGAGCGAGATAGAAATATCGCCGGGGACAATTTATTACTTCCCTCTCGCTGGGTCTCGTTACAAGGGACCGCCGTAATCTTACGTCGTGCATTATCGGAAGTGTGTTACTTTCTTCGCGAT